ACTTATTTTTTTTTTCCCAATATTGATTTTAGTATGCTGAGGACAGGGACAGGGTTAGTCCAAATAAATGAATAAACAAAAGGATGAGAGTCATGCCAAAATGATTCAATGAACTTGACACGGCTCTCTATTTCTATAAGCCAGTCGTTCCTCTTGACTTTTGAGTCTTGACGACACCCAAGGCACATCATACCAATCAACCAAACCACAATTTGAGGTTGAATATCAAAACAAAAGGCAATGGGTAGGCAAAAGTTGGGGCATAATAGCCGCCTGCTTTAGAATTACACGACCATACACACAGATACATAAACACTTATTATATATGAGGATCTCCTCCATTAACATCAATAATTAATTCCATTAAAAAAAAGTTAAGGATCTCAAGGGAAATTGTATTTTTTTTTAGTGCAGTTACGTGCTGATATATAGGCATATAAATATGGGTATGTTGTTGGATAAGCCCCTACAACATCCACATATTAATTGGGGCTTATATTATTATATAGATGCTGGTGGCAGCAAGTGGTGTGAGTGGGGTCGAAAGTAGGTATAACGTGGGTCCCATTACTTTTGTAGCAATATTAGAGGTCTTTTATACTCTGTTTTTCACCCTTTCAGCTGCGTCCGAGTGCATACCAAAACCCAATAATAATTGTTGCGTCTTCGGAAGGGTATTCCTTTCATCTAAGAACGGTGAATCACAAAGTAGAGATCACGAAACATGGGTCCACTGCTGAAATACATGCACCACCACCACCTATGTAGCACCGATACCGACACGAGACACGTAACACGATACGACAAGACACTCCGACACGTTAATTCTAAAAAATGTTAGATTTCGACACGTTAGGATACGTTTTGATATTAAATAATATTGTTAATTTATATAGTGTATATTATATTTAATATTCAATAATTTAACAAAATGTAATATAAACTTATAATATTCATAAGTTTTGCAAAGAAACATAAGATATCTCAAATATTTATATTAAAATCAATAAAATGGTAATCGTAAGTCAACGAATCTAATAGTTGAAACTAAAAACTCAACACAACGCAACCTTTGAACTTTTTTTTGAATTTCTATAACGCGTGTTGGAGTGTCGGGGAGTGTCGGAGTGTCCGAGAGTGTCGGGAAGTGTCGGACACGACACATCAGGATTTTTGAAGTGTCGGTGCTTCATAGACCACCACTGACCCCGCTTTGTCCTTGCCCGGTCAACAATCTCACGTGACACACTATATACCATATGCTGCAATGTAGCCGATTTTTTGAATATGCTGACTTAACCCACCTGATAGAGACTAGAAATTTTAAATCCACTTTTAGCACCCCCTTTATTTTTTTCAAAAGAAAAGAAAATCACATTATACTTTTTCTAATTCAAATTTTTGTAGACACGTAGCACTACTTATATTTTTGAGAAATTTGAAGTAGATAATATATAAAAAGACTCTCTTTGGTATTGAATGGCGGTTTTGATGCAACGTGCTAGATCTTAATTATTATGATTGTTGCGTACATATTACTTATTCTTGTATCTATTTCCACATACCGACTTTCACCTTTGAGATCTTTTTTCCCGAACTCTTTTTGACATATACTAACTACATAGAATTGTTTAAGTAGGAAATCTAGGACCTTTTTTCAGTGTTTTCTTCTGTTGTAGTCATTTTCTTCAGAAAAGAAATTGGAATAAGAAAAGGGCGAGACAACCATCAGTAAGCAAAGAGTCCCATTATAACAATATTGAAATAGATAGAGTACACATACAAAGGGACCATACTATGCCACTTACAAAATCCCCTTTTATATTATATATAGTCACACCTCACACCCATAAACATCGACAGTGAGTGAGTTCAGTATCATCAGAGACCCTTGGGGTTTATATGATGTGATGTGTGCCTCTTACCTATTTGGTTAGTTCAAAATCAACAGAATCCAAATCCATTTTAGGGGACAACAGTACGGGGCTTGTACAGGTTTTGCAGCTTCCATGATGTCTATTGTTATGATAAAAACTTGGGTTAAAAATTCAATGTCCTGATTATAACTTAAATTGGGAGATTTTGTAACTAATAATTAATTATATAGTTGTTTAATTACTATATCATGTCTTGCTTCTCGATTGTTTCTCTAGGGAACATCATATTCAAAGCAATTGAATTCCGCGTCACCATCATCATGGTGATAACCTCTACCTTCTAGGATTCTATATATATATAATGGTTTTACTTTTACATATCATATACTATGGAACATGCATCCAATTATATAACACAAGTCATCACTAAATCCAAGGGGGGAATTTGAACCATCTAAGTTACTTTTTCCTTCAATTTATCATTGTGTTACGTTAGAAAACATTAAAAGTTATTAAGTTATATTACAGAGATAATAATGATGGAGCATTGTTATTTAAAAAAAAATTGTGGGATCAGCATCATTATTTCTGTAATATAACCTAATAATTTTTTTATAACATAACATTCATAAAAGCCTTCTTTAACTTTTTCTGAAAAACCATATTTATATTTTTCTTCAGTGTCTCTCTTATGAAAAATTAGTGAATATAAATTGTGGACTTCCGAGGGCGAAGTAAAGCAACCAAATTGAAAAAAAAGCAATTATGGTATAGGCAAATATCTTCAATTGTTGTTCTTTATATTATGATTATGATTAATATTAAAATAGTAAATAATTAACCCGTTTACTAGATTATAATTCCTTCTCTTACATCTGGAACATATTTTATTGAAATTAGAAAATATAAAAAATTAATTTAACTCTAAAACTTAAATTGATGGATGAGGTTACATTAATGATTTTATATATCTCTAATTGAGGGACGGTAAGGATCGAACCCGTGACACGAGATACTAATATTATGTAAAGAATCAATTCAATCCAAAAATTTAAATTAATGGATGAGACTACATTAATAATTATATATATATCAAACAGAAAATGTTTCAATCACATAAGATATTTCATGACCACAAAATAAATCTACTTTTTTTTTTACACTGAAATTTTCATGAACACAAAAATCAATAATTAACATATATAAAATCATATGGATCATAATAAAAGTGTAATTATCTCTAAAAAAGTGTCATTACATATATCAATTGTAAATTTAAATAGCTATGATAAAATTAAAAAAAATTATTCATATATTACATTTCTGCACTATATTATTGCACCTTACCTTTATGGGGGGGGGGGGGAAATATAGTTTTTCTTTTTTCTTTCTTAAAGAAAAGTGTAATGTAAAATCTGATATATACAAAAAAAATTATTGGAAGAATTTCTCCAGTTTAAGAGATTAAAAAAGAAGAAGGAAAATGACCGAAAAGAACCACCTTACCGTCAAGATCATTATGTACTTTTTAAGTACACCCTGAGCTAAAGAGGCTTCTGACATATGAATATTCAAGAGTAACTGAGCATACGCTTTTACTCTCGTGTTTACAAGTGTCCCGGGAGATCTAACGTGCTTTTACTGCCTGTGAAAACTGAAAATATGGTTGTTAATGCAACTTGAGTGAGAACAAAAAGTTCCAATGAGTTTTCATGAAAGAATCCAAGAGAAGTATGAAATAAATACTATTGACATTGATCTCTACGAGAATGACAGCTTGATGATAAAAAGTTCATTCATAGAAAACACCTCAATATACACAGTATACAAATAGTCCCTGCCACTGTTTTGCTTTCTGAATGGATGATACCTACCTGCTATAGCTACATGAATGAATGTCCCCAACTACGAAAAATTGTAGTCCTATTAACATCACAGTCCTTAAATTTATCACTGTTTATTCTTACACAATAATAGTTACTGATGGTGATTGAGAACTTTTAGAGGCTGGGATGTAGAAAATAGCCGTTGCAGTTCAGAATTTTAATAAATATGGTTATTCTGTGTCTTTCCATGCATGTGATGGGATTACCTCAAACAAGCCGGAAAGGGTTGTTTCTAATTATTTATTGGGTCGTGCATTTTCATCTTTGTCGATCTCCATTCATGCTATAGTTATTGAAGAGAGTTATATTGTTTACAAATTATATTATATTTTATGAATAAGATATTTTTTAGTGAAGTCTTATGGATAAGATGTAAAAATATTTGTCAATATAATTTTTCTCCTAGTTATTTAATTTTATCTTTATGCAAAAATAAAATAATTATTGGGTATCGTCAAAAATTATTGACAAAGTAATAAAAAATATTTTGAAATTGGAAAATTTTTATTTTTTGGGATAAGAAAATGAGGGAAGCAATAATTTAAAAAAAAAAAAATAGTAGAAATATTAATATAAATAAATTATTGACCTGCAGTTATTTATTTTATTGATTATTATGATCCGCTGATGTCTGCTAGTATAGGTCTGATGCATGAGAGCTAAGGCGGGACCACTTATTTAGGGGCTTATGATTCGTGTACACATCATACATGCACTTGATTGGGACCGGTTACTTTTCTAGCTCTCTCTTTTTCTTTTCTCTTTTTCTAATTACACTTTTAATCTGCTAAATTTATATACCAAATAGTAATATAGGTGAAATTTAAGAGATAATAAAAAAATAAATTTAAAAGATAACGATTAAAGGGAAATAAAAATGTAATATTTATGGAAAATAATATATTTTGGGGTTTGAAAGCATTAAAGTTGGTGTTACGGTGGTTGGTTCTGCGTTCCTTAGCAATTTAATTGCTTTATCTTGAAACTCAGGCATCCAACCACAAAAAATTCCGAATTAAGTTGATAAGAAAAATATGGAAATTGTGAAAACGACAAGAAGATATTTAATGGATAAATGAGCAATGAGATCCCTCCACCCGCTTCTTGTCCATCATCATCCTCCTTTTCTTTTCTTTTTTCTTTTTCTTTTTTTCTTATTAAACAACCAATTAATTAAGCTTTGTAGAAGGAGACGTTTCCTCGTTTTTCAGCTGTTTGTATCTTCTGACACACCTTGATTGCATTTTCATATATATTTTTATAGATTACTCAGCACAGAACCGTTCTCTCTCTCTCTCTCTCTCTCTCTCTCTTCCCTCAAAAATTCTTTGTTACTCATCACAGGGTGCTTGGCTTGCATCAAATGATTTGAAAAGAGAGGGTCAAATCAAAAGAAGTCCTCCTGTTTTGATCTATTCACAGGTACTTCTGAAAAAAAAAAAAAAAAACACTGAAACAAAGTTAACTTCATTGCTCTCAGAATTACATATATTAAACACTTTTTTTTTTTTTTAAAGAAAATGGTAATGAATGTGTGGATAATGAGGTGAATAAAGATGGGTATCTTTTTCCCAAGTCTTTTTTAACCATCTCTCTCTTCAAGTCCTTTTTTTCCCTTTTGAGTTGGGATGGAATTGCAGAGGATTTGAGTCTGACAGAGAGCTTTCCTCTTTGTGTGTGAAGGGACTGATGAAATCCCAAAGATAGATAGATCACATAAGCACTTTGATAGGTGGGTTTGATGCATCTATGTTTGCCTTTGATGTATCCTTCCTTCTATGTATGTTAGCCATATATAACTGTATTGCTTCGGTGGGTGAGACTAACTGTGCGTGTGCGTGTCTATGTCTCTCTCCCTCCCTCTCTTTGTGTGTCCAAAACCCGTTTCTCATAGGTTTCGGGTCATTATAATTGAAAATCTTCTTTCCTTTGCAGTTCAGAGATGTTCATGAAGCACGTGCGCACTCCAATTTCCCTCACACCAGGTATACTATAGCTTACCCTTATCATTTCACTAACTAAAATATATATAAATAATGAATTCTCTCCTTTTCTTTCTTCCTTCTGTCTCAATCTCTCCCTCTATAATTTATCCCTCTTTCTCTCTTACCATACAATATCTCTTTCTTTATAAAAAGCCTCTTCACTTCATATATTTCCTTTGCTTCTCCTCTTTCAATTTTCAAGTTCATGGGACACGACTATGACAATATAAAACCATGCACAGAAGAAGAACGGATTCCACCTACAACTTAATTTTGCAAACATACATGACATCAAATATTCAGGATGTTGTTCATGGGTTTTGCAGATTCATCATCATTACTTCTTCCACTTCACTGTTTATTTCCTTCTGAGAAGACTATAGCATCAATTATCGAGAGTGATTTGATGGGTTGATCCCAGAAATTATACCCCAGATTCATCACAAGGCTGAAGGTACTGCACAAATAAGCATGTTGTGTAATTTATATGTTGTGTCGGTTTACAAGTACATGTGTTTGTGAGGTGCTTGTTTTGTTTTTGTTTTTTTTTGTTTATTGTTAGGGACATGGGGTTGTGGTATGTCTTGGAATGTGAACTTTGATGAAAGGCTAGCGTAACTAACGTACCAGTCTCTTTTCAGTGAAGTAACAATCTTATTTTACCCGAAACCGATGGCGACGTACTTTCATGGTAATTCGGATATCCAATCAGCTGGTGCCGATGGACTCCAAACTCTTGTCCTCATGAATCCTGGCTACATCCACTATTCTGACGCGCCGCCGCACCAACCACCTTCTCACGCTTCTCACGCCACCGGCAACCTTGTCTTCCTCAATTCTACCGCAGCCTCCGCCGCCACAACTACTAATGTTGCCAGCAACAACTGCTTCACCCCCCACGCGCCACCCACTCACACCCAACAATTCGTGGGCATCCCTCTCCCCGCCGCGTCACAAGAGCTTAACCACCAGTCCATGCATGCGCATCACGACGTCTCTGCCTTGCATGGCTTCATGCCCCGCATGCAGTACAATCTCTGGAACACCATTGACCCCAACTCGGCGGCGCGTGAAGCACCACGCGCCCAGCAGGGTCTGTCTCTGAGCCTCTCCTCCCAGCAAGCAGGGTTCGGGTCTTTCCGGGTTGATCGTGAGGGTCAGGCGCCTGCTATGTCTGGTGGGTCACCGTCCTCGGCTTCTGGGGTTACAAACAATGGTGGTTCGGGGGTTCAGAGCGTTCTTCTGAGCTCAAAGTATTTGAAGGCAGCGCATGAGCTTCTAGACGAGGTGGTGAATGTTAACATTGAACTGGCAAAGAAGAGTGGTGGAGTCACTAAAGTGATTGGAGAATCATCCGCAGCAGCTAGTGGAGACGGTTCAATAGGTGGAGAAGGGAGTGGGAAGCGTAGCTCTGAGCTTTCAACTGCTGAAAGACAAGAAATTCAGATGAAGAAAGCAAAGCTAATCAACATGCTTGATGAGGTATTAATTTGTAATTCACTTCAATTAGTATTTTTTTGTTTTGTGATCTTAATATGGAACACGAGCCTCAGAGCAATGAGTTTGATACTGTTTTTCTTAAATTTTTTGTATTGTTGGTTTGAAGGTGGAGCAAAGGTATAGACAGTACCATCACCAGATGGAGATTGTGGTTTCCTCGTTCGAGCAAGCTGCAGGGATTGGCTCGGCGAGAACTTACACTGCCCTTGCACTGCAAACAATATCTAAGCAGTTTCGGTGTTTGAAAGATGCCATAACAGGTCAAATTCGAGCTGCGAATAAGAGCTTAGGAGAAGATGATTGCTTTGGAGGTAAAATTGAAAGTTCAAGGCTCAAATATGTTGACCATCAACTAAGGCAACAGCGAACTCTCCAACAATTGGGAATGATCCAGCACAATGCTTGGAGACCCCAGAGAGGATTGCCAGAAAGATCTGTTTCTGTTCTTCGTGCTTGGCTCTTTGAACACTTCCTCCACCCGTAAGCACATCCTCAAAAGAACCCCATTTTAAATTTTGATTGTGAGTTCAAACATTCTGGATATTGTCAAATTTGTGCTGAAATTACTGACTTTGGTGCTTCAGTTATCCCAAGGATTCAGACAAGCACATGCTTGCTCATCAAACAGGGCTTACTAGGAGCCAGGTAACTAATATAGTATTAGACTCTTTGCTCTTATGTAAGGTTCTTTTTTCTTCTTAATTTTGGCATTCATCATGTTATTAAGGTTTGGAACGTAACAGGTTTCAAATTGGTTCATAAATGCTCGAGTTCGGCTTTGGAAGCCAATGGTGGAAGAAATGTACTTGGAGGAGATGAAGGAGCATGAAGAGAATGGGTCTGAGGATAAATCAAACAAGAGCAATGAAGATCCTTCTATGAAAATGGCAGCCCCACAAGAGAAAGGTCCTGCCTCTGAAACCGAAGCAAAAAGTTTCAATTCCAAACAAGACGTTTCCAAAAGCCACAACACTCCAATAGTTTCAGTTTCAAGACCATCAACATCACCACTTGGGTCAAATGTTAGAAACCACTCAGGATTCAGCTTCATTGGATCATCAGAACTAGAAGGGATCACACAAGGAAGTCCCAAGAAACCAAGGAACCATGAAATTATGCATTCACCAATTAGTGCCCCTTCAATTAACATTGATGTCAAGCCCAATGCGACAAACAATGAGCAGCTCTCAATGAAATTTGGGGATGAGGGGCAGAGCAGAGATGGCTACTCTTTTATGGGAAACCAAACGAACTTTATTGGTGGTTTTGGACAGTACCCAATTGGTGATATTGGTAGGTTTGACGCAGAGCAATTCACACCAAGGTTTTCAGGTAACGGGGTTTCCCTTACTCTTGGTCTTGACTCATTACCAGGAACACATCAAACATTTCTCCCAAACCAAAACATTCAACTTGGAAGAAGCCTGGACATAAGTGAACCAAACGAGTTTGGTGCCATAAACACTGCCTCTCCTCACTCTACAGCTGCTTATGAGAGTATCAGCATGCAAAACCCAAAGAGGTTTGCTGCACAATTGTTGCCAGACTTTGTGGCCTAAATAAAGAAAGATATTGAAGGGTGAGTAATGTGGTAGCACACTAGCACTCGCTTTTTCCCGGTCGTTCATAATTTCTTCTATTCCCTCTGCTTATGATGGGGAGTACTGAAAATTTGTAGTTTAAAGAAAGAAGGAATTTTACTTTAGTATAGGTTTATACTCTGCATAGAACCATTTGAGTTCTAAGATAGCTTAGGATTTGAGAGTATATGGTTGAGGTTGTATATTATTTTTGTAAGTTCTGAAGGTGGGATAGATGGATTGATGTCATAAATTTTAATTTGGTAAAGATACCAATATATCTTTGATTGAATATATATGTTGTGATATTATCAAAATCCTCCGTTGAAGAAACCAGAACCAATTACCATTTATTTTTGCAAGAACGATCACCCTTGTACGGTGGCTTATTTGAATTCCAAACATAATCTAGAAATATGTAATGAATGAAAGCGAAATATAGAAGGGTTATGTGGTTACAAAATGAAAGTAAAATGTGAAAATGTTACTAGAGATTTTTTTTGCTCTTTTTGTTAAGTTAGGAACGAAAGCAAAATTCTCAATACAAGAATTCTATTTTTAATGGGCCAAAATGATAATTCTTTCATTAATGGATCAAATGATAAACCACAATAAGTAAGCTGACAACAAATCTCAACTCAAAACCGACTGCAAGTTTATGGATCTTTTGTACTTATGTGATCCCCACTTAGTGTAAATCTAGCCTATATAAAACTTACTTCGTTACTGCTCACTCACACGATTATTTCCTAACATTAATCACCAAAATGATGTTCTTTTGACTAATATTGCATTTTTGGCCTATAACACGAGAATTCATGGAACAGTGACTAAAATGTCACTGTTCATCAATTTTTTTATCTAAATGCCACGCGAACAGTCTTATTTTTCAATCTGCCATGGGGGCGAGTTCACTACTCGGTGTAGCGAACTCGGTTTGCTGACGTGTCACGTTTCTAGTGGACACCAAGTTCGCTACCCTATATAGCGACCTTCAAACATTTTTTTTTTTTAATTTGGTACTTGTTATCCACTAGAAATATGACACGTCAGCAAACCGAGTTCGCTACACCGAGTAGCGAACTTGCCCCGTGGCAGATTGAAAAATAAGACTGTTCGCATGACATTTAGATAAAAAAGTTGGTGAACAATAACATTTTGATCACTATTCCAGAATCCATAGGATCAAATTGTTATTAAAGATTTTACTTATTCCTTTACATGTCACTTAAACACAAACATACATAGGACACCCATATGACGAATGTCCAAAATTGGCATACAATAGCACGCGGCTCGAACACGCAGTGGATACCACATAAATTTGTTTTGACCAAACTATATGTTTGTTTGTTTTTGTCCTGCTCCATTCCCTTTTCCCCCAATATTCGTTTCTGCTTTTTGGCTCTTTTTTATTTTTACTCTCTGCATTTTAAGTACCAAAATTATCACCTTTAAATCCACTGTAGCAACATTATTCTCACTGAACTAAAATTTCCAAGCTAAATAAGATTAACTGCCAATCTATTTCCCTAAGCAATCCTTCTGACATGATGCTTTGAAATCTCTCGACTTGGCTACAATTCACTGCAGATTATCACCGCCTATTTCCCTGAGCATTCCTTCCGACGTGATGTTAAATTATCAAATTTAAGATTTGAATTAGCGTATCGCATAGAATTGAGCTTAAAAAGATAAATTTATCTTATCTGTTGTTATAAAATATTTTATTGTATATACCAAATACTGTAGGATTAGAAAGTAATACTTATAATTTATTTTTCGTATAACCCCATCTAATTTAAATTGTGAAATGAAGTTGAGAAAGGTAAAATAACTAAAACATCATATTGTGTTTACCTCCACCTTCCCACGTTTGCCGCTACCATCACACCACCCTTAGTACCTACCGCACAAACCAAAACCACCTTTCAAAAAAATGGTAATTGTGGGTCAATGATTTTTTATTTATTTTTTTGTCACTAGACCATTGAGAGTATTTTTATTATCATCTTATGGAGCTTGGTTCTATCCTCTTATAGAGCAGGAAACCCGAAAGATTTGGGAAATGAAAATATTTTGCTGGTTACACGGTGACACAGAAATTTAAAACTTCATTCACCATAGCAATTACTCAATCCGAGCACCACAAGGAGAGAGTCACAAACTATTCTCAATTTCTATTTTATCTTAAACCTTCATAAGATGCTCCTAAATAATTTTATCTCCTACGTACACATAAAAATATGTACAACCTATATAAGTCCATGTGGAAAGAAAAGAGAAAAAAAAAATATAAATCCCACACATTTTTATGTGTGTAAGAAAAAAAAATTATCTCCTACAACATAAGAAACACTAAACCATTCAGTATTCTACGGTAAATAGTTACACTTTTCTCCTTTCCTGCCAAAAACACTGGACATTATACGCATGCGTTATGTGACGTGGGAAAACCAAGCAGCACCAACTGACTTAAGCTATATCTCCATGTGATTAGAAATGCCCAGGCAAAACCAATCCATTAATATACTTAGGTCAGTTATGCATCATGATTTTGTTCCCTCTGAAACGAATATTTCAAAAATACATTCTATACAGTTCAGTTAGAAGTACAATGTTTTACAAAATCTACACAATGCAATTAATACGAGAATGGAGACAATTAATTTTAGATGCCTTCTACAAAAATTTCCATTCACGTGCAAAAAAGAGAGAATGTTCTCTTCTAGATGCCTTGACAAGGTCGGAATCCTGGATTGGTAGTCTAATATAAAGAAACTAAATTTGTGAAAGCATCAAATTGAGTTGGTCATGGCATGCTCATCCCCCAGCAACGATAGTCTTCTCTTAGCAACCTTGGACCTATAACACCATACTTCAAATGCTTCAGTTAGGTCTGGATACCGGATATACTTATTTTCCAACCATTCAGTTAAAACCTCTGCCTGATCCCCTGATGGTAATGCAAGTATGATAGAAACAAAAGTGGATTCTAGGGATTGCCACAATTCGTCATCTACTTTAAGTACCACATCATTCTCACAATTCATTTTAGCAGAATCAATCAATGGTTTTGTAACCCTCACAAATGGAAGCCACACTTTCAAAACCTGAAGACGTTTGGCAGTTGGCAATATAACAGTACCATACCCAATTGCCTCTAAAACCTTTGATGTCACCTCAATAGCTCGCAACTTTATCTCAATGACTTCAGTTGTAGAACTTCCTTGCTCAAGCACCTTGACAATCTTTTCTGATGCATCAAACCAATAGTCAACAAATTCTCTCATTATTTCCAACTTAATCAATATCTGATAAACCCATGACAAATCAGTCAAATAGGACTGTAACAACTGAATATTCCCTGCCTTAGAAAGTGATTCTGTAGAACCACAGAACAAAGCTATTAATGAATTGTTAAACTTGGAAAACAGGCTGTTCACACATTCTTTTACCTCAACTTTTATGTTGTCATCAGCTGTCAATAAAGGGGCATCATCATCTTCAGTTAGCATGTACTCAATTTGCTCCTGTGCCGAAGATTTAAGATCATCCATTGATGGGGGAGGGGATGATGTAGCAAAGCGGATGGCTGACAGAAAGATATTTATGATAGCTGACTGGGTGACTGGTTGAAGTCTAGCTAGGATAGGCTCGGCTTGTAATCCCATTCGAGGTACAATTTTCAATATCTCCTCTTCCTCGGCTTCTTCCCATGTGACTGCTTCTAAGTAGTTCACACATGCTGTAATAATTTGTGGGCATCCAAGATCAACTGCCACCTTGAGAATGCCAAGGGCATTTCTAACACCATGCCACAAATCATCAACTGAACCATCTATGACAATGTAGAGAAGGCGTATAAGATTTACATGGTAATCAAAATCTGATTCTTGGCAATAGACGTCAACACAGTTACGTGAATCAAGGATCTGACATGTTGGCCAATTCTCAGACAGCCGATCCGCAAAATACTTGCAATTTTTTATAAGAATCCCTGAGTGGCAGTATAGCCAATCATCCCGACCTTCCTGTGTGCGTAGCCTCACCACAACATCACTAGTTGATCTGTTACCAATCGTGCAGGCAATCTTTTCATCTTTATCCTGAATGAAAGAGGATAATGAAATCACAAAGAAGAGAGACTATTTAATAGGTAATAATTGGAAATCCAGAAGAGATGAATTCTGCTATTGTCAATGTTGATTGTTGAGGTATTCCAATTCAAGAATTGAACTTAAATACTTAAAATTGTTCATGAAGCCAATTGAAAGAATTAACAATGTAAAATAAAATAAAATAAAAGCCATATTATTATAACTGAAACATGATGATAGGGTAAAAGAAAAGGGGGAAATGGTGAAAAAACAATCTTACAGTAGCTTCCATTGAAATCAAGACCACTATGAAGCAAGTTTTTTATACATCATATAGTACCTGCAATTATAAAACAAACAATTAGAGTTTGAACCACGGGGAAGTTGCTCAAAACCACATCAGCGAGACAGGTAAGACACACTGGATCTTGCAGCACCAATTATAATGAATAGAGGCTCAGTTAATTGTAAGTGAAGATTAACTGAAATCATTCGAGAAACAAGAAACCGAGATCATTCAAGAATCAAAACAATGAAACAAGAAAGAACATCAAACTATCAAACCTAGAAAAAAGACAGAGTAGGGAGCAATTACGAGATTACGTTGTGTCGTTAAAAATTAAAGAACACCGCTTAGTTGGATGACATGGCGGCTGGTGAGTGTGGAAAGCAGAAACCCTGAGAGTCTGTGGTGAGAGTGGAAGAAGCAACTCAATCCTATTACCGTATTACGGTTTACGGAGGTCACACTCCTAAGTCCTATGTGATATCCTATAGTATTGGCCATTGCCCCTTCTTATCAACGTTAAACGCATCGTTGCACTGCTTTTTATTTTTATTTTTGCCAACTTGACATGGATATCTAGAATTCTACATAGAGTCATAGACCCTCTCTCTCTCTCTCTCTCTTTTAGGGGGCATTTGGTTGGGGGAAATTTTTTGAAATAGTAGGAAAATGAGATAGATAGAGAAATGATTGGAAAGATAGATAAAGTGAGATAGGTAGAAAAATGTAAAAAAAAGTTGTTTGGTGGGGAAAAACTTTACTGAAAAAATTAGGTACCTTTTTAAGAAATGTATGTTTGGTTGGAGGTAAATATAGATGGGAAAACAATGTTCATTTACAAAAATAACCCTCATTTGAAATCTTTTATTTAAATAGGACGGTACCCCACAGCTGTCAAACCCCAACGTCCTCAATACCCCTCAGATGTCAAACCCCAACGTCCCCATCTCTTTCCAACGACCAAAAAAATAAAGGGGGAAAAATAAGTCGAAGTGTGGGGTTGTTCTTTGTCTAGGGTTCCGCCAGAGAACGCAAGGGGGACGTCGAGTTGCTGTTCAAGACTAAGATTAAAGCATACAAGTTGATCCCTCCCAACCAGTACACTTTAGTGATCAGAACCTACCGTGGGAGCGTAACGAAAGAAAGGGGATGATAGATGAGAACCATGGCTGTATAAAAATTGGTCCACCATCGCAAGAGGTATGCTCATCGCTCTTTGATGTCATTTGTTATGGGTATCATCGTTGTTGTGGTCCATAAAATGGTGTTGAATGAATGTATAGAAGGACCGTTATCAGTGATGTTGATTATGTGTTCAACTCATACGAAGGATTGGGTCTGAACACACATTCTATAACTTAACCGTTATAAGTGATTGGCAAGAAATATAGTTGTCAACCATGGTACTTGGTGTTTATGGAGCTAAATGAACAGGGACAGTTCCCTGCAAATAAGTTTTCCACACATTCATATTATTAAAATAACTATCTCATAAGTTATAAATACACACAAGCACGTAACACTGTAATACCATAAAAATTGGTCAGATCATAAGAAGTTAGGAATGAGTTTGTTTGATTAAACTTTTGTTATGTTGAAAATAACTTAACAAATAAATAATAATGAAACTTACATTTGTTACTGTATGTTGTTATGAACCTGTTATTGAAATATTATTGTTGGAAAGTATTTCTTTTAAACAGTTTTGGTTCATAGTATAGAAATATGAGTTGGTTTGTTGCTTGTAAGTTCAACTGAACTCGTGATCTGTGTCCTTCTTTTTACCGCAGTAACCATACATTTTTGTCAAAGTTGGTGGGAGGCATCTTGCTATACAGTACTGTATGAGCATTGACAGAAGAATGGGTGGAAGTGGGTCCGGCATAGGTGGAGGTGAAAGCCTAATATCCAGGCATTCAGCGTCCTCGTCCCCTTCCAGGGTGAAGATGTGCTATTGCGGAGTGCAGGCTGCGTTGCGCATGTCAAATACACAGAGGAATCCGGGCCGACAGTTTCTTCGATGTGCTAATTCCAGGACTCAGCATGATTGCCACTTTTTTGAGTGGTTTGACGAACCAAGTTGCAGTAATTGTCTCAAGTTCGAGAATGTTCTAAAACAACAAAATGTTTTGCTAATTGTAATTGTTATAACATTTGGGATCATCGTGACCACAATGTTGATCATCCGTTGACTTGTATTGTAATGGTTTAGGGTATGTGTTGTCGTATATATTTGTACTAATGTTGTGTGGATTTGTAATTTAGGGTAACCGTCGACCATGATGGCCTTGACGTACCATCTCATCAATATGATATGTACTTTTTGTGTATTAAGAATGTAAGTATTGTATGAAATTTGTTTGTTAGCCATACGAACCATTCGAAGAATTCTGTTGCACTTGTCATGTACACAAGTGGCAGTACAGGTCTGTAAAAGGTTTGTTTCTTCTTCATATCTTGTTACAGGTGTCCCTTTGGGTTTTTTTGTTGTTTGTATAACCTTAATTCAATTTATTGCTTCATTGAGTTTCAGCACATCCCAGAGTCTCATTGAGTTTAGGTTATGATGACTTTTGGGACTTTAAGGACGCTTCAGCTGGAACCAGATTTGGCCCGAATCTGCAAAAACCACTTCTTTTAAGCATACACCAGAAGTAAACGAATGTCTTCTAGTGTGTCTAATTGTCTATCATCAAACTTACAGGAATTTAATTCCCTATCTTGGTGGATCATCTGAAACGTGCTCTCAAATGGCATGTTTGAAATTATTGAATTGTGAGCTGTCCAGTGATGGAGTGAACTATGTTGTAGATGCTCTTTCTACCTTCAAAGGACCATTGAAGTCTCTTTCTGTTGCTGACAACCTCCTTGGCAGGTATGTGTGTAGACAATACTGCAGAACTCTTCTGCACTTAATTCTTTCTCCATTTGTATTTGGATTGTTTTTTCTTATATAGTGAAGTAGCTGAATGTATTGGGAAATTTTTTAGTACACCTATGGAGGCACTTGATGTTGCAGGAGTTGGATTGGTTTCATCTGGTTTCAAAGACATTCAGAAACTAATAAAGGAGGATCTTAAGATGGTGAAAAGTAATGTAAGGTCATGATTAATACTTAAAATTCTGCTATCGCTTTTGTTTAATCTTTCTTTTACAATCATGTGACATGTTTTCCAATTTGAACAGCAAAAATCGTGGTTCGATTGAAACTGCCATGTTTACCCATCAAAGCTCGTCACAGGCTCCAAAACTAGTTGAAGTGAATGGCTCCAGTCATTTTTTCGCAATAGAATCACTGGCCATCATCTGCTCTGCATTAAAGTTTGGAAATGGTATTAACATTTGTTATAGTCTGTTCTATAATTGACTATTATTGGCTCTTACATACTGGCAGGTAGTAACTTTGTGTTCATTTAATTGATTAGTCGCTCAAGCATGCCCACTAAACTCCCATCTGTGGTTACTTGGATGCTAGTAGTGTCACATTATAGTCAGAGGAAGTATTGGCATAGAAACATCAGAATGAAGATTGGTAGTCCATCAGATTGGTAGTCCATCAGATTGGTAGTCCATCACATTATAGTGTCACAATATACTTAGTAGTCCATCAGATGTTGTGCATCCGAACACATACAATCTGTTGTATCAACTATGATCATTGGCATAGAAACAATTGTTTTGGGTTATTTTTATATGAACTTTTTTCATAGTGGTTTAGACAATATACTGCCATTGACTTCCCTTACATTTTACCAATGCAGTTATCATCAGAATTAGAGGCAATTGATAATATATGTGTTGTTATACCAATCCTAAGGAAGACATCCGTGAAGACCCATCATAGCAATCTTACAACAATAGAAGAATCATTAAGTAAGCATAATACGATTTGTCCAGGTGCCGGATTCAACCACAGGATTCCAAAATGGAATTATAATCAGTTTTCAAGAACAATTATGACAAGAGACATTACAGAAACAGAGCATGACAGTATCATTTCTTCATTGGGGTAGATATACACTCACAGTGCAGCAAAGACTTAGTAAAGGTGCAGTGATCCATATCAAAAGCAACCCACGATGAAAGTGGTTTGATATAAGGACAAAAATGGAGTAATAGCAGATGCTTGGAGTCTTGGAGTATGTAAATGGGAAGCAATCTTTGTATTTTTAATTCCAGTATCTGTCTGTAATTTATATTTCATGAGTGTAATGTTCCTGTTCTGTGGAGTCTGTAAATATACTAGTCCAGCTGTTGAGTCTGGAATCTTGTATTATATCAAAATTTTATGAATACAAATGTTTCTGACAATATACTCTTCCACTTGGATATGCTTTGGGTTTTGAACTTGTTTGCTGTTTTAGTGTTGGAGAATATAAGCCTAATTTGTTATAGTTATTACAAATGAGTGTGTGAAGAATGGAGTACTTAGGCCCATGTTGTCAAAAATAGAATTACATTATTACGCCCAAGATTGTCCAAACAAATTAGATCATGACAATTTTTTTGTTATAGTCAACCAACATTAATTTTTTCCTTCTTCCCCTAACTAAACAGTGAAAGAGCCAATGCCATCATAAATATGGTATGACAATCCAATTAAATCACTGTTATAAAGATTATAGTCTGCAGAATTACCAACAACTGAATTTGTCATGCCTAATTCATAAGTGTACAAAATCACATTGTATACAAGGAAACCCACTCCCTAATTACACTGTGGTAACAAAGAACAATACTTTGTTCCTTGATCAAGCTAAGTCAATATTCAGACATGATATTACAAGGTTACATAATTACAGAACAGTAACATCTTAAGAATTACAACTGCAACCAAACACTGCTACCATCCGAATGTCATAGAATCTGTATATGCTGGATCATCATATCTGCATCCTTTTTTGGTCCTGGTGTTGTTCATTAATTTTGAGCTGGTGCAGATCCAAAACCATTACCCTGGAAACCTTTTTCATTAATTCGAATGCTGTTATCCTGCAACCACATTGACAGCAACTGTATCAGCACCACAAATCTGAAAAAGACAAAGATTTAATCATATGATCCCATGAGAAGCTGTTAATATCAACTGGATCAGATGAATAAGAAAAGATGTTCTATGTATATTCATGACTTTGGCAAGTACAATGTAAAGGAAAATGGTAGGACTGGTACCTTATATCTCATAATTCACATTCAGAGCAATCACCAACAAATACACAGTTAATATACTGAGCCTGCATACAAGAAATGGGAAGAACATTCAGAATATTATATGTTAATGATTCCAATTATAGGCTTGTACTACTTCATAGCACATATTTCATCCATCAAAGGCAGAACAATATTATTACCTACCTGCAGAAACTTATAAGTTGTACACTAGTGTTTTGATTTTTGATCATTTTAAAAAACAAACCATCAAAGCCAAACTCGAAAATGGTGGATTGACTCCAATGTCAGATAACAGAACCCTATAAGAAAAACATCAAAAGCATGCACATCTATCATGATCACTTACAATTAGTTCCACCATATCTCATAAACCGATATACCAATATGCCACATCACAACCCTATTTAAGAGTGTCTGCATAAAAAATTAATTTCTGACAAATAACCTGAGAACTTCAGCTAATGGATCTACCTCTTCTCATTATTGACATCAACTAAAAAGATTATAAAAACTTTACTGATTTGTGTTGTCCCATTCAGATTTAGAGGTGTAGTAACCACATTTAGCATTATGGGTAGCAGATTAATTGATAGTCACAAAACATATCAGAATCATGGCCTTCACACACCAGTTCCTTCCATCAGGTACCAGCTTCATTACAATAAACAGCTTGTCACCTGCATAAAAATTAGAAAACAGACAAATTACATTATAGACATATGGGGTTACTAGCAGGGGGTATCACTCACAACAGTAATAAGTACAAATATGTTCAGTTCATAAACCTGTGATGTCTATTGGTACACTTACCATACATATCAGTTATTGTCACCTTAGTACAAAAATGCTGAGTTGGTAACCTCATGTAGCAGATCATTTGAAATGTTTCAAATTCCATACATGACACTGGATCCAGATCCAAAACAACCAATTTTCCATATTATATGTTGTGCAATGTCAGTCCATAATTTGCTGTCATTCGTTAGAGGTAGCCAAAAGTATTAACACTTTACCAAGTCTAAACCTGTCCATGCCAAAAAGTAGCCTAACCAAGCCATGCGCTATATATAGTTAAAGGCCATCAAAAAACAATGACATCAATCTATAGGGAATTACTCAGCAAGTCAGCCAGGAGACACTTCCTTTGCTGATCATTGCATTGCATGAAGACATCTGTCAGAGTTGTATCCTTTCCCAACTGCACCGCAAGTTTAACCATCTGTGAATCTGTTAGATCTCCAACTTTTTCCAGTTCTTCCATAATTGACATCCGCCTTTTACTCCCATTAGCTTGATGCTGAAAGCATGAAACAAGCTTGTCTATACCGTCACGGTAGTTTTGATTGATATCTTTCATGACATCAACTATTGGAGCAACCAACGGATCATCTGGTCTGTCACGTTTCTTTCCCTTTTTGGCAGTAGCGGTAGACACATCTGAGGGCGGCACAATTTCTTCAATTGGGACTTCTGGTATCACTGGATCTGGTAACGGTGTGGGTATATAGTTCCCTGTGAGGTCTAGATACTCGTCACATACATTCACACTCTCTGCATTGCATGCCGCATTTGCCTCCATGACATTAACTGATTGTCCCATTGTCTCTGCATTACCTCCTGTTGCTGCATCCTTGCCAAATATGGTTCCCAAAATATCATAGTGGGGGAAAGGCTTGTTGTAAAGGCCCTTTGCAGTTGGGTGAGACTGTGGATAAAAAAGTCATGTTAAACACTGAATATAAAAAAAAATTACAAACGTACAAGGTGACATAATTGAAACACAAAACTTCAAATTATAGCACCTTAACCCAGTCATCAAATATTCCCTTCTCCACGTCAATCATTTTCTTCGAGTCATTCCACCCGAACCCACTTCCACCAGAACCTCCTGACATTTCATAAATGGCATTGTACTGTTTTTTCAACAATTTGACCCTGGAGGTTATGTGAGGGATGGCTTTAAGTGAACAATCAGGTATCTTGAGATGCATCATCCTCTCAATTGCATTAGAGAAACCTTGTTTGAACCCGTTCTCACCTCTCCACAGATGTGCAATTTCAGTCATACATTCGACCATGATCTTATCTTCCTCGGCAGTCCAAGTGTGATTACGTTTGTTTCTGAAACTCTGGCTTTCATCCGTCATAATGTCGGTGTTCGTAGATTGTACCTGCGATAAACAGTTTCAAAATCATTTCACTAACCATGTCAATAGTGTTCTGCCATAACATTAACACGATTTACATAAGTAACACTGCAATTGCGTAAACACCCCTTAACATAAACAAACGTTAAATCATTAAGTTCAATACACGCCCAATATGTTTGTCAAAGTCTTCATATTACAACATAAACGCAAATAGCATGAAGTGTACATAACGGTACAGTGGAAACAAAAAACAAAATGCAAAATGATTGGTTCATCTCTACATGAAATTCAAACATGATTCCTCCAGGTGTTAAACATGTCATGTGCCATTTGATCCCTGCGCAATGTCCATGCATTAGATGACTCAACATGAGTGATCAAATCAAGTGCTCCCATGTTATCATCAACGTGTTACATATCAACTTCTTCATCGTCCAATGGATCCACTGCCATCTCTCTCCGAATGTGGTTATGAAGCAAACAACATGCACTAATAATCCTGCATTGAGTTTTAACGGGATAAAAGGACTTCGATCGGACAATAGCCCACCGCCCCTTAAGCATCCCGAAGCAACGTTCAATGACATTTCTTGCAGAGGAATGTTTCATATTAAAAAATTCTTGGGCTGTCCTTGGTTGGGCACCGTGCCTCCATTCACTAAGATGATATCGTTGTCCTCTATATGGCGTAAGGAAACCTTCCCCATTCATGTAACCAGCATCACCTAGGTAATAGTATCCTACATCACAAGTTACAGTTAACTTATATCAAAACATGTAATACAGTAAGTAAAATAAATGACCCACAATAAATTATCATGGCAATATATGAGTCATAGTGCATACCTTTAGGAACCTTCATACCGTCTGGACGACTTATGACATCTCTTAGAACCCTAGAATCTGCAGCTGATCCCTCCCAACCAGGCAAGACGAAAATAAACTGACCATCTTGAGAACAAACCCCTAAAACATTAGTTGCTATGTCACCCTTTCGAGTCCGGTATCTGGCCTTGTCCCCCTGTAAGGGGTTAATCTTTATGTGTGTCCCATCAAGTGCTCCCAAACAATTCTATAATTCAATTTATAATATTAGTAACACGGAGACACGATTGGTGACGGACATGTATAGCATGAATTATGAGTCACGTGGACTAGTAAATTACCTTGAACCATTTCCACTTATCATCGGTCGAGTTTTCCATGATTGGCTCTGGTCGTTTTAGAAGAACATCATGACAACGTAACACTGCAAGCAAAACATTAGAGAACTGTCTACTAATGGTTTCACCCGATCTCATGAATTGTCTTTTAATTATCCTGTTCTTCACATCATGTGCCAATATGTGAAGAAATATTGCAACCATCTCCTCTACACCCATATGGCTCGTCGGTTGAAGTTTACCAACAGTTTTAAGCAACCCACACAAGCTATGAAAACACCTCCTGTCCATCCTTGTATTCTCTATACACGTCGTGTCACTAATGTGAACAATCCTAAGGAAATTGACTTCCCTTACTCTAGCCCTCCCACGATGGTCTACTGACACTCTCCTGCGTCTATTTCTCCGGTTTTCAGCAATGCGTAACAAAACAGCACATATACTGACAAACATGTTAGTCAGTTGATGAAAAAACTCCAAATGAGTAATGAGCACGAGTATGACATTAAACTCCATTCCATTGTCGATGGCCATTATCTAACACGTCAAGGACAAAAAATTTAAGTTAAGTAATTACCAAAAAAAAGAAATATCTTACTCATCGAATAACAGATAATGAACATTCTTCTAATATTAAAATCAATAAAATGAATTTAAAATCCAATGACTCTCAAAAGCAGATAAGTTAACAATGTTATATTATATCTCTCTAAATATTAACATTGTTATATTATCAAGTTCGCAACCTTTACATCCAATTGACTATCAAAAGCATAAAGTTAATAAAGAATTCAGAAACAAATAAACCTAATTTTTTAATGACTTGTTTTTGTAAAAATGCAGTTTTGGTTATAACATCTAATAATCCAACTATTTTTCAATAATTTCCCGACTGCACATAACAAGGCGACCAAGAGCATTTAGATCTGAAAGAAAATAGTTCATGTTTTATTTGTCAGTATACATACAGTTGAAAAAAGACTTTTATTTTAAAGCAACAAAATGTAAACATATAAACAATTATTTATAATCTCTAAGATTTTATATGACGTATAAAGAGTAAACCCTATAAGCATAAACACCCCAAAACCGCTAAAATATTTACGACTTATAGAAAAAGACAAAGTTAACATGTCAAATATAATTAACAACTCATGCTTTCATGTAGGACCTGTAAAAAAAAATGCTAGTTAACCTAGTGAAGTTAAATAACTTCATATCAATTTCGAACCTTTTCCCCTCACATGCTATTTCATTTTGTATACAAGCCTTTTTGACTTATTTTCCACTACGATGCAAAAAAGTTCATTTGGCATGCTGTAATCCATCATCATAAATACTGTGCTATTTGAAGCATTGTCTTACAAACATAAAATTAGTTTAATTTAATAGACCAAGAGAAGTTTCCAAAGTATGGAAAAAAAGTATGAACAGTTCATTATTGATTGTTTGGTTGTTCCTGATAACAGGGAAACATTCTCCTTTAAACTAGAGTCATAATAATAAATCAACCATTTATAGAATATTGTGGAATCACCTAAGTTGGGATCTGTTTGCACATATTTCAGCTTAACAAACCAAAGCTAACTCTTTGTCCTAGCCAAATCATCACAGAGTAATTTGAAAAAAAATTAAAACATATAAAACAAGATGGTAAGGGAAAGATGATATCATGATAGTAATTCAAGCAATCAGAGAATGTTCTAATTTTCCTTTTTTAATCGAAACAAATCAGAGAGAGGGGGAAAAAAGGGAACAAAAGATAGTACATTTGTTAAAAGCCAAACAAGTTCCTAACTTATTAACCTTTTTAATATCTTTTCCACTTCCTTATCTTATTATCCATTTCCATTTGTCATTCTCTTTCTCCCTTTCTCACCCTCACTACCCTACCCCACCCGTCGACAACAGAAACAATCAAATCTATGCACTGCAACTAATACTTAAAATTGATTGAATGCTTAAAACCCCCATCACACCCTTTAAGAAACTCTAATTAATTACCCTTATCTCTTGCATTCACTGAGCCAACCCTCCATCTCAATATGCTAATATTTTTTTTGTTTTCCAAGCCTTGAAATTTATTGTCCTATATATATATATATATATATATATATATATATATATATATATATATATATATTGCACAACACAAAACAAAACTTAGTAGGAGGAAAATTTACATAACTGAAGCCAAAACAGGATGACATACACATACTTGTTTGGTTTGTGGGAAAGCTTGTGATAGGCAAGGATGGAACTATTCCCAGCACAACCAGACTTCTCCTGAAGACAAATCAGCCCTCCAAACAGCAAACCCACTTCAAGTTGCAGGAGAAGTACTACAACAGAATTCGGACATGGACTTGGGGTTTTGGAACAGAGGTTTGGACTCTAGCCCAACTCCTTATCATCATCATCATCAATGTCCAAAAAGGATACTTGCTTTGATCATGACCTCGACCAACTCCTTATCATCATCATCCTTCACATTCCAAAACAGTAATACCAATCCCTTTTACTTCCACAACCAACCACTTTTCCACCACCACCAACAACAACAACCACATATCCAAAGCCTAAGCCAAGAACTTGGTTTTGTGAGACCCATCCAAGGAATCCCAGTATACCAAAACCCTCCTCCAATGCCATTCTCTCAACACCAACATCAACATCATCACAACGTCATAAATTTTTAATATTATTAACATAACTTTCAACACCTACTTCCCCTAAACCCAAACCGATCCAAATCATTTTAAAAAAGGTTGAATGTCACAAGGGTCCATAAAATAAGCGTATGAATATATTTTATAGAAATGGATCAATTATAGGACATGACAAAATTAAAATTTTAACTTCTACGTAAGAGTTCAACAAATAACATATACATGCGGCTAACATCACTTACTTGATCTGGACAATGAACTTCAAGTGATGGAGAAGTATGATGCAGCTAACACAAGCATGTACCGAAACAGACAGGACAACTCCAAAAATATGACTGAACGAGCTTCAACTGATGTGGTTCTGCTGAGTTACTCCTTTGCAAAACGGTAGAGCAGATACAAACGTAAATTACAATGAATAATCTCACAAAAAGCTCTATAATTGGTCAAGCAGTCTCATTTTTAATTGGATTTTTATTAACCCAAAAATTTGACAATACGAATTCTCCTACTAGTTCATATATACAAAAACACACATATCATATATTAACACAAAGATCTGCATGTGTAGAACAAAATTCTCAATTCAAATAGATAACAAAAAATACTTCATGAAAAATTTCAAATAAAAGGCACCCAAATAATCTACATGAGAATAAGCCTTGTGGGGAAGAAAGTTGTCCACTTTAGACTAACCCCTTTCGATCTATTGCCCCTACGGTTAAAGATACAGGGAAAGCTTTTGATTTAAAAACCTGTAAAATGGTTTAGGCCAGAAATTAATGTTTACCCGTGAAGAACTATTACAAGAAGAAACATGTTTGACTCCTATGGAGGTGGTTTGTCATAACCTTCTTTCCGTTCTTCCTTTTTGTCCTGTTAATATTTTTACAACTTTGGACATAAAGAGGATGAACATAACTCTACAGAGTAATCTAGCTGAGTGGAAGATAAGCTTTGGGTTTTTCATTTTGATAAACGATTTACGAATCATCAACAGATCATATTCCATAAACAAATAGAAGCTGGGTGAGGTCGATAGTCATGGAAAGCAAACCTTCTGCCGACAACCACCTTGCTTTCTTTCAGTCGCTACTTGCAGGAAGGTGCTCTAAGGAAGAGAACCTACTGCGCCCTAAGCTCCTGACCACACACCGAAGTTTGCCATCGTATCATCTATGTTAACTTTTGAAAGGGTATATTGGTTACAAAAAAATAGCACAAACAGTGGTTTACCCGTGTTTTTACAAAAACCCATGTACGAAATAGCTTTTCAAACAGTACCGAAACATGTTCTTTTACATTTAAATTGAGAAAGCTATGCATTTTGAATAACCACCTTTTTGTGAGAATCTCTTCTACCAAACATATGTATTCTGGAATCCTTCACTCAGTTGCCTAGGAAAATTGAGGAAAGACCCCAACCAAACGCCCCCTTATAGTAAATGTAGACTTCAAATTATCCCATCAGTTTTTTAAAATTTTCATTTCATTATACATAATTACAGGAGTTAAATGTTTCAAATAGGAAGATCCTTGAGGTAGTGTTTTATCGGATTTTTTTGTTTAGATTTTCATTCATTTGAGTATGGCATTTCATATTGTCCTTGTTTGATAGGAGAAATATAAAAAAAATTTAATGTTTCTCTTTTTCTCGTTCTTTCATAATCATATGCAAAGAGAAAAAAAAAACACGATTGAACAGTAAAATAAGGTATTTGCAGAAAATCAGCTAAATGAGAACGTGACTATTTTTCTCGTAAAATTTTGGTCAATCAAATAATTTTTTTTTAATTTTCTTACTAAATTCACTTTTCTACCATATTACTAATAATTACATTTATTTAGTAAAAAAAATATCTTCTCTACCAAATGCCACTAAAAAAGAACAGTACTACTAGTATGAGATTTAGGATCCCTTTCACACGCCATATTAAATATAATACAGAATAAAATAATATAATATGTTGTGTAAGTTTATTTACTAAACTCGCCTTATAATATATAACTTAATCAAGGCTTAAAAGTAGCATTGAGCATAATTGGATTTTGATGGATAAGTTCACCTAAAACTTTCCCTTTCCAAAAAAATAATAATAATAATAATTTTCCCTTTCCAAACCTACAGACATCATTATCTAATAAAAGAGGGTTAATTTTTTTTATATATATTACGTAAAGGGTTTTATAAGAGTTATGTTGTAAGAAAAGTGATTGTATAAAGTTATAGAGATTCGTTTTGCGTGTCGTAATTTTCTTTTTTTTTCTTTTTTCTTCAAAAAATGTGGACCCCACAAAATATTATATGTGTAAGAAAATTTATTGTGTCATGTTAAATGACAAATGTAAACCCCTTATATAAAAAAGAAGATTTTTCTCCTGTACATTTATCGAAATTCTCATTCCTTGTTTTTTTTTTTAAAAAATTTGGTGGGTTCTGCTACGTGATATTTGTACAACAGAAAAAATTTCTCTAAATATAATATGAGAAAAGATGAATCCATAAAATAAAATGAACAACTTATTTTCTGATTCATAATGTCTTATTAGAGTGCCACCATGTGAAGATCAAGATGACTAGTGGCAGCAAAGAAGTGAACCTGAAGAAGTTCTTTGAGGACGTGAAAGTAGTGAAGGAGGAGCTGAGAGAGATGGAGGGACTGGCCATGCCATGAACCTCCCCAGGTGTGGACCCGAGTCTTCCTTTGACCACATCCACACCTTTGTGGTCAACAATTAAGTTGATGAAGAAGCTAAAAAACTCCATGGAAAACTTCAACAACTTCCCCTAGCAGATCTCATCAAAGTACATGGAATTTTAAAATAAGCTTTTTAAAAAAAAAAAAAAAATGAAAATGTATTATAAACTACTTTTCGAACACTCGTTAATGGTCCTGAGCGTTGAAAGTGTGAAATAAGATTCATGCAAACAGAAAAGAAGGTGGACTTGGAAGTTGGAACCAATTAATGTGAAGAAAGAATCTATTCAAAGAACGGCCGCCATTTTGGGCCGTAGAATGCTCTAGATCAAATGATTGATCCACATGGTGCACTATTTTTATTTTTATTTTACATTTTTTTTTTACTACCCGGTCTCCTATTTTCGTATCCTTTTTTAAGCTTGAGAAGGATTCTGACAAAATGTTGATTTGAGATAAATTTTCACCATTCTGTAATATCGTTGAGTGAGTGATACACTCACTAGAATTAGAAAGACATGATTTATTTAATTATTTTTTCTTTACACACTTTTTTATTTTTAATGTCACATGAGTTAATGTATTTACAATTTTAGTAAAAATGTATGTACTACATAGGTCTTGAAAATTTCCCTGTTCATTTGGCTTTGATTACTTGATGTTTTTTATAAATTTTAAAATGATTCTTGATTTATTTCAAATTACTTATCAATTTGAAAAAAAAAATCATTATTTATTTATTTTGTCCTTATATATTTCATGTTATTTTTATAAGTGGAAGGAGAAAAAATATTAATAGATTAAAAATATAGTTTGGTCAAATGCAATTATATTTCTTCAAATTTTAAAATATTTATTGAATTGATTAATTGTTGTGAAAAACTTTAAAGGACAATTATTTTAAAACAGATAAAATAAGTGAAATATATAAATAATGCTGGCTAGTAACATACTCTTTCCCATACCATCTATTATTGGGTAAACTTTTAAGATTTACTAAAACAAAAACAAAAACTCAGGGTTCACTCTTTTTTAGTGAGATCCACCTAGCAATTCTCAAATATCGGCGGCAATCGTGAAAAAACTTCATGTTTTAATATAATTTTTTTTTAGCATATGTGTAGTCTCTTTTCATGAGTTTGATTTTGATATAAGATTAGTATATAATTTTTACACAAACATTATATTCTATGTTGGCCCTGTTTTAAAAGTTTAACATTTTAAATAGCTATTATCGGCCGATCCATCAACCGATCCGATTCAAACATTGATGATTAACCCTTATTTCACTGGTATCCATTTTTTTTCTTAAATCGGTTTAATTTTGAAAATTTGTATAAAATATTTGACATATAACAACCACGAGGAATCAAACCTTGTTCATACGGCTGGACAATGTAGCATTACATTTAGGCTACACTTAATTATTTGTTAAAATGCATCTTTTAATATATTTATTACATAATAATTTAGTATAAATTTAGTTTAACTAGTTGAATAAGTGTTTATTGACTCAGTATCTCAGCCAAGTCAATAATCGGTTCGAATTTAATAATATTGCAATATATCATGATTAATTAATATATTCATAATCATGAAAAAACTTGTGTGTGTATATATATAAACTAAGTTATACCAGATTAATAATATTTTTATTACTATTAATTTCAAGAAAAAATTAAATCATATAAACTAAAATAATAACTTTTTATATGAAAAAAAACAAAGATCTTAGAAGCATCAAACCTATATGCAAGATAACTTTTACCTTTTTTTCAATCCCGCTCCGTCTTTTGCTATCTCACTTATTGCATGTGTATTGTAATTAAGAACTTGCTTTAGGCATAACAATGCAAAACTTATATGTCACTCGACATAATAGTTTTGAATGACTATAATATTCTTTTTCCTAAAGTAACAAATCATATTTGTAAATTGATATGATATCGAGCTACAAAAAATGTAATTACTACTACGTTGCTTCTTTTATACTCTTCTCAATATTGTAAGGATATATATTGCAAAAAATTTAAGCAGCAACCAACATGGTAGCTTGAAATATTTGAACAATTCTTCTCACCTAATTAATCTAAGAAGCATAAAAGATGCCCAAATTTATTCAACTACCACTACAAAAAAACTGCTCTTTAGCCACATTCAGAAATGTGGCTAAATCACATAAAAAATGCGGCAAACAGAAGCTACCACACTTTTTATAAATGTGGCTAATGATGGCGTAGCAATATTTTAGCCACATTATTTGTTTTACTTAGCCACATTCTAATTCAGTGTGGTAGCATATATTTAGCTACAATTAAAGTTAAATTTGGCACGATTTGAATGTGGCTAAAATAGTTAAAAAAATTTAAAAAAAAATAGCCACACTAAATTGTGGCTACTTTTTTACTTGCTGAAATTTAACGAAAACAGCATTTATTGTAGTTAAACACGGTATTAAATATCTGAGAAGTACCCATCAGTCCACAACTCACGGTTGACGGGAACAACACCCGTACCAATTAGAAGAGGAAAGAAGTAACTCAAAACTACTAGGATTAGAGCAAAAAACAGAGCTTTTGGAAGAGTTTTCTTTGGATTTTCCACTTCTCCAGAAAGAGTACTTATGGAGTCCCAATAATTAAGATTCCAAAATAGAGTATTCAAATACAAATTCCAGTCAACATCATTTAGGTTTGTCACAGCCCATCTTGAAGGTTCTAAGTATGGAATTGCCAACAACCCCATAACCACAAAAGGTAGGAGCGAGAAAATCACTAAACAAACAGCAATCCCTCCCACAATGGTTAAACCCCTATAGTTCAAATAAGTGAGAAGTATTGTCAGACCCCAGGTTGCAACAACTCTAGGTAAGCCACCACCTAATGCAGGGATTCCTGACTTCAGAGAATCAAGAAATAGAACTGGGTATAAAGCATTATCTATCACCCCACTCAGCCACTTCATCCATCCTTGCTGAAACCCCCAATAGGGACCCAAAGCATAGGAAACCCAAACCACATAGCCATTGTTTTCAGGGAACATGGTACCCGTCTCAGCAGTAATCAAAGCTTCAGGTCACTCATCTTTCCCCATTTATCGCCACCTTCCCTTCATTTGCTTTTCCCTCATAAAATGTCTGCTACACATTTATAGGAATATTAGTTCCTCAAATTAGCAATGATACCAAACAAACATCTTCAATATGCTTCTCATGATTGTTAAAACTTACTTAATTTTACTTCATTTTCGATTGTGATCTTCAGTTTATGGATATATTATATATTTATATGAAGTGTAAATGTAATGACACCAATTACCTGGAGGAAATAACACCTGTCTCTGGCTTGTTCCCTAGACTGAGTTTCTTAAATGGGGTCTCGAATTCGTCGAGTAGTTCAAGCTCAAGCAAAGCATCCTCAATAGCCTGAGCCAACTCCTTATCATCATCAGCATTGTGGAAGCAGTCCCTTTTCTTAGCATCAAGAACTACTTTTCCCCATACTGAGTCGCTGTTGCTCAAAGTTGATGCATTTCATATTATCCAAAGACAATATCTACACAAAATCATATTAAGATAACACTAGTAATTTTAAGCTTTCAGAAGGGTGTCAACTCTCATAATAGATGATGCTTATTAATCCATCAATGAAAATATTACAAGGACTCGAGGAGTACCTTCCAAGGCCTGTAGAAAAGTGGCTTTCTAAACTTGGGATTTAAACTTCAAATGTACCTGTCCTTCTCAAATTAGAACCTAGATTCATATGAGTATATGTGCAAGTGTTGATGTTTGGCTAAATTATTTTTTTTATTCCTAAGCATAAGTATACAAGCAAGACATATATAAATTTTTGTTTATTTTGTTCTTATTAGTTAGTCTTAGTCATAATTAATTTTACCTTTTTGGTAAAAATAATTTCTTCTGTGTTGCTTCGCTTGCACTTTTCTTCTCTGTATCAGGAGAAAAGACCAAAGTGTCAATAAATATCAGATAAAGCACCAAAACTAAGTGAAATCAAAATAATAAACGGCAAATTTTGGAAAAGAACTGCATTTTCTTATATGTATTTGAATCAGGTAGATGGTGTGTATTAGTGGGTTTGTTCTGACTCAAGATAAGTTAATGTAAGTTATCTTTGGCACTCAAAAATATTGATTTACTAAAGAAATAAAGTAATTAAACCCTCTTAAAAATTATGATATAAAGGAAATGAACTATTTCTACTAGTCAAAAAGAAAAACTTCAGACAAAAGTCGTAACTGCACCGGGCGCATCACATAATGGGCTTTGGCATTCCCCAACTGTTCAGAATTTCAAACACATCCCTCATCATATATGGAATTCACCATTTAATGACCAAAGTATCCTCAAAAGGAAAGAACTAAACTTATATCACGTTGGCATAAAGTTGATCCAAAGACCTCATTTCAGCTTCAGCATTACTAAGAAATTCCTTCAAAATCTGATCATTACCTAGTAAAAAAAAATCATTTTAGGTAAAGCTAAACATTTGATTACCACTAAAATGTATAGGCAAAGAAGTCTATAATTTAGATAAGTTGCGAATAACCCAAACAAAAGGGTAACTATGCCTGTGGGATACTCCACATCATTGGTAATCCTATATATGAGACTACATAATAGAAACAGATATGCACTAGTCTGTTGCAACTCTAGCTACAGAGTTCCATTGTCATACTATTAAAGCCAACTTAAATTTAAATATCTGTATTGTCATATTCTCGTTCAAAAAAGAAGGTGCTTTCAAATGCACCCTTTGCTAACAGTCTTAATGATCTTATAAATGTGGGCTTCAACAGCTAATTTTTAAAGTGTTTGGATTTTACCTTTTGGGCAAGTCTTTGTCGTGAAAAGAAAACTAAAATCCTGATCCAAGCAGTGTATAAAACAATGTTTTCATAATAGCAGCAATGTAAAAATAACATTCAATGACATATAACTAGAAATAAAAATCATCATCATGAGAGAATGAATGTGCCTGATGAATGGCTAATGCCCCTTACCATGACTGTGAACATCATGACAAAGCGAAAAAATGAAATTATTTTATTTTATTTCATTGTTAGGGCGAAGACCATAGAATAAAAGCCAAACAAAATTAAGTTTGATTTCAAAGTGTTACCAATTTATAGATTTTACTTTTAGAAATCTCCATCTCTTAAATATAATCATATATAACTTAATTCTAAAAATAAAAACGAAAGTAAATGCTGCATTCAAGCTCTGGTTTGTGATTCGGCGATAGAGAAGAAAATCAACAAGAGAAATTGAATCTGAAAAATAAAAGGAAAAAAGAAACAATTAAAAATTAGGTTTTACTAATTATGTTGTGCCTTGTTCAACTTTTTGGATGAAAAATCCTTGAATCTTTCATCGCGATTCTCTGCAGAGTCGAGCAAAGACACATTGGCTCATGTACGACTTCATAGCCAACGACATCCTCGCCGAGTACAAGACTCCATGGTGGACCGCCGCCAAGAAAGTCGATGAGTCCGCCCTTAACCGCCTCATCGAAGCTGTCGACGGCCGCGACGTCGACGCCGTAGACGCTGACGGCAAAACAGCGCTCCTCTTCGTCGCCAGACTAGGCTCGAAACCGTGCGTCCGAATGCTGGCCACCGCAACAACAACGGCGGCCTGGCGGCGCTTCACATGGCGGCAGGGTATGTGAGACCTGGCGTCGCGAAGCTTCTTTTGGAGCTCGGTGCAAATTCTGAGGTGGAGGATGATTGAGGAAGAACGACGCTGGATCTGGCGAGGGAGATTCTGAAGGTGATGCCGAAGGGGAATCTGATGTAGTTCTGTGGAGGATTGGATTGGAGAGTGTGATTAGGGTTTTGGATGAGGCGTATTTTGGAGAAAGGAACGGAAAAAAGCTTAGGGGAGAAGAGAAACAATATAACAAGAAAAAGAAAAAGAAAATAAATGAGAAGCAAAATAAGCAAGAATAAGAAAAGATTTACTGTGAATGGAGTTATTTTGCCACATTAAGTGCGTAGTAAAAATTGATTTTACGACATTAAATTTAAATGTGGTTAAGATAATGTCCCTAGACTCCGTCTTTTTTGTAGTGTACCACGTTGTAAACTCTCGTAAGTTGTGCCTAAATTAATGCATAATTAGTTTAAACATTAGTCGGGCCCTATAATCTAAGAAGTAGTGTTGTAAAACTCGGCCCTACCCGGTCGGATCGACCCGGAATTCGGTAAATCAGTCATCAGACTGGTTCGAATCAAGTATTGGACCAGTTACGCATCGACTCAGTCAAATCCGGTCAAAATCCGAAAAAAAAACTGACCAAACCCAGTCAAAATCGATGATCCGGTGTCCCGGTAACCCAGTCGTGTCATGCATTTTACAAAAAAAAAACAAAAACAAAAAACTGAAATTGTTTTATCTTATCAGAAAAATATGTAGAACTCATTTTAAAAACTTTTTGTAATTTTATTTGCTAATATACTCTTCTACAATGACATCAAATTTTAGTTTCTAATACTGAAGCAATTTGTGTAATAATAAATTAAAGAATGTGACATATGTCATTTTAATGTAGTTGAATTTGAAAAATATGAGTTTAATGTCATTGAGAGGTATGTTTATGGGGATTCTGAGTTACAATTTTAATTGACGTAGTAATAGCATGTATTTTTATTTATTTATGCTTCATGTTTTTTAGCTTATTTAGTGAACCTTATTTAATTAATTTTAGATATGGAGAATATAATTAAATTTATATATTCATATTTATATATATTTTTATATATCTATATATATCCGGGTCAATTGGTCTGACCAATGACCCAGTGACCCAATACCCCGACCGGATCAATGTTCGGATCGGTTTTAGCAACACTGCTAAGAAGCACTATTGTAAAACCTGGCCCGACCCGGCCGGGTCGACCCGGAATCCGATGAATCAGTCACCAGACCAGTTCGGATCAAACATTGGACCGATTATGCATCGATCCGGTCAAAATCCGGACAAAACTGGCCAAACCCAGTCAAAACCGATGACCCGGAGTCCCGCTAACCCAGTCGGGTAATGCATTTTACAAAAAAAAAAATGAAAAAACTAAAATTGTTTCATCTTATCGGAAAAAAATGTAGAACTCATTTTAAAAACTTTTTGTAATTTTATTTACTAGTATACTCTTTTGCAATGACATAAAATTTTAGTTTCCAATACTAAAGCAATTTGGATAATAATAAATTAGAAAATGTGACATATGTCATTTTAATGTAGTTGAATTTGAAAAATATGATTTCAATGTCATTGACATGTATGTTTATGTGGATTCTGAGTTACAATTTAAATTGACATAGTAATAGCGTGTATTTTTGTTTATTTATGCTTCATGTTTTTAGCTTATTTAGTGAACCTTATTTAACTCATTTTAGATATGGAGAATATAATTGAATTTATAAGTTCATATTTTTATATATCTATATATATCCGGGTCAACCGGTCCGACTAATGACCCATCGGTCCGATTAGTGACCCAATAACCCAGTATCCTAAACGGATCAATGTCCGAGTTCGGTTTAACAACACCAATGAAAAGTGATTTGTTTTTTTTTTATTAAGATACAGGAAAAGAAAGACATGAAACTAGCTGCTAACCAATCCGGGGATAGCAACCCCCAACTGGTCTTTCAAAATTAAACTACTACGTTCATCAAGTGGGAATTCAAGCATCTCTGATTCTATGGAGTCCAAACATAAATGGGAGCACTGGAAGCAAGTCAATCTACAACGTGGAAGAAGGGTTGATCGAGGGTACATCATTCTCTAGCCAAGTGGATAGCCAAAGTAGAGTCCCCTTTCAACCAAATGCGTCTATGGCCTCTCCGCATGCTATCTCCAACCCCAGATGCATTCCTCTAAGCTCAGCCAAAATGGAGTTCCGTACCATGACCAGTATATTATTTGAAACCCACTAACCAGGGGTCGCAGCAATCCCTTAGAAAACCTCTGCAAGCGATTCTTTTACCATTGAGAGTGCAGGAGTTTATCTAATAA